TGGATTTTAGCAACTATAGGTCATCGTATGGCCTTCAACAATGAGCAAAACCTAAATAGCATAGAAAGCTGTAAAAGAGAAGTGTTATATACCAAAGGAGTATTTAAAATCATAAATCGAAAACAAACTGACAATGCCATGGAAAAAAGCGAAAAACAACCAAAGGACACAAACCCCGACATAACAAAATATAAAACATTTCAAACGGGAAAAACAACGACTTTATTCATGTACAAGACAACAAACGAAAAACAATATATACATCAAGAAACAAAAAGAACTGCTATAAATCATAAGCAGAGAGCTCATTTAATTTGTGTCATTTAGAACTGTTCGACGCTTGAACACAATCTTACATTTCAACCTTAGAACTAACTTTTCTCAGTTTACAATAGAACAAGTTGTTTTTGCAGTTCTGCGTTAAAACAGATTCAGAGACAGTTCTACCATCTAACAATTCCACGGTAAACTGATACACATACCATCTGTACCCTTCGTATGGAGTTTATATATCTCAGCTAAAAGTTACGCTCGGACATATTCACACTTTACTGATTTCAGTATCAGGAGTGTGCTTCTCATACAACATGTACAAACAGTGGTGCAAAATCCTGCATTCTCGCAATTTCCTGGAACTTAAAATTACCTCATGGAAATCTCCATGTCATTGAGTAATAAGTCAACTTTTGAAAGTAGATTTGAAATCTATAATAAGAGAAAAACAAAGAAGTACTGTTGGCTTAAATATTTGTTTTTTTCTAATGTGCATAGGGTAGAGCTTGATTAAATTAAATTTAAAATAATATTCGTTGCTAGTAAGTAAAGGTTAAAAAGGGTGGTAAAGGGGAGGGGGGACTTGCATGGAAAAAATGTTAAATACAAAGAAGGAATAACAACTTGCATGATAAACAATGTACGATAACGAATGCATATCAAAAGGTGGAAACCTTTATCTGGCCAGTATATATATATATATATATCTACGTTTGAAGTCCCGAAATCTACAAGGAAAAGCATCAAATTATTTCCGATTTCTTTTTTATTAACTTCCAAAACGAGAGTCTTTTAATTTTACCAAGCACGGAAACAAGCACTTTAAATCTCGAAGCATGTAAAATAAGCACTTTCTCGAAGGACGTATAATTAAATTTGGGGAACACGTTTAACGAGGCACCAGTCTTGCACGGCCGAATTCAAAATAAAAAAGCGAAGAACACGTTGATCGTTAAAAAAAACAACAACCGGCGAACACGTTGCACGAAAATTACCCTTTACCACCCCGCTAAACTTAGTTTGACTGGACTGTTATGACGACATATGTAATTAAGACTATACATACCTCACAGGAAAATGAAAAGAATGGATCGTTTTCAATGGCCTGTTTAGAACGTCATATTTTATTTCGTTAGTTATTTTGATGTCTTCAGAAAAGATGTCAGGACTGGATATAAGGAGGCATAGAAGACGTGACAATTGTTTTATGACACCCTGAGGACTCAGCCATTTTAGTTGTTTGCATCAGCAACATAATCACTATGCTGGTTCCGTAAATAAATTAGTAGTTCTAGGAATGGAATATAGCTTCAAAGGGATTATCAAAATTTTTGTATAATACTTTTTTATTTAGTTTTAAATTATTACAGTAACTTTAGTTTTTATTTTTACTAGATTTGCCATATTTTATTTTTGTCAAATTTTCTATGTGTACGCAACTGCGTTTTTGCTTACGGGTTGCTACGCGCCTGCTCTGACAGTTTTGAAGATATGACATAACTGATTTAATTGATTCTACTTTCAACAACGTTACTTCTTTAGTCAGGTGATTTACATGTTTATTCATTGTAATGTTATATGGTTGCTAGTTATATATAGGTGAGAAAACATATAAGACCACTTTCTACATACTGATTCCAAAAATATGCATTACCTTCTCATTCCTCTTTGAAATAAGTGCAAATATCAACAACTTCCGTTTTACATCATGTTACTTTCGGTTGACAATTTGTAATGATATATTCCTCTTATTTTATGCACCAGTTGGTTTAATCATGCCTTAGTCTCAAGATGTTACAATCAATAAATGTTCTATTAAATATGTCAGGGGTAATAAGTGCTATGCATGTCTCAGGATCGCTATGAACCAAATATGCCATATCTTCACAATTACCAAAACATTTATATATATATTTCGACTCTTCAAAATTAAGGAGTCAATCCTAAATTGAGGTAAATTGTCTGGCCTTCCAAATACCGTTTCGATTCCTAACATCAATGAAGAGACATTAATTTTCGAAATCCGGATATGGTGTACCAATTGTTGCACCTTATGCTTGCTAAAGTTTTAGTCCTTTATTCTTTCTTCACAAGTTACCTCAATTTCATCAGGCGCTTGTTGATCCCAACAGCATTATATCCTACTATGTAACAAGTCAGGAAAATGGCCATTGTTATATCATAGTTCGTTTCTGTGTGTGTTACATTTTAGTGTTGTGTTTCTGTTGTGTCGTTGTTCTCCTCTTGTATTTGATGTGTTTCCCTCAGTTTTAGTTTGTAACCCGGATTTGTTTTTTTCTCAATCGATTTATGAATTTCGAATAGTGGTATACTACTGTTGCCTTAACTTAGGTAACCAATATATAGTTGGGACCTTCAAATGTTCAAAAGAGGCCTTAAGGTTAACTGTGGTAGTGACATAATTATTTACTACTTGACTCTCTGTGGAGCGCAAGGCCTTGATGTAGTTGAATGTATAATTTCATTCTAAGGGACTTCCGTGTAGCATTTACGTCATACCTACTCTATATTGTTGGCTGTTTTGTCAGTCGATACGAAAACAAAACGCTTTGCGAGTACTTTAATTTTGTTTTTAATCCTAGAAATGGTCGTGTTACTTACTCTTTTATCTATTTCTAAATAATTTTCAAAATGTGATATGCGAATATCAACAATATTCAGACATATGTTTAAATAGGAATCCCGTTTACACCAAAAGGATGAAAGAGCATCTTTAAAGACCTGGCGACACTCTTTCCAATTTATTTTCGAAGGTGGACAATATTATGGTCCTTTTTTAGAAAGTTTATAACCTCTCCGTCTTGAACGATGTTGAGTTCCCCTGTAATTATATGGCCATAGGGATCATATCAAAACTTCAATGTTTCACAGTCTCGTGTTGATAATAAACTCCTCATAGATACCAAGATTGAAATTTTGTATGCCAGACGCGCGTTTCGTCCACAACAGACTCATCAGTGACGCTTGAATCAAAAAGTTGAAGAAGCTTTATTTTCTATACTGACATCTGATAAAACTGACGTACAATTAAAAATTAAACTTCTAATGGTTTGTTATAAGAACAGGAAATTGTAGATGGCTCTATGTTGCAAAAATGTGGAGATATAAAGTTTTGAACGGTAGAGTCATTAAAAATATACTTGACAAATTCATAAAATAAATACCTCTAATAATGTATTTTTTTTTAGAAAATATCTTTACGATCTTCAAGTTTGTCAATTCGAGGGAACAGTCTATGGTGACATAAAGCTATAATGATACATGTACACTAAAATTTTGGATTGAAAAACGATATTGTACCACAGTCGTTATAAATATTATAATATTTACTTATTGGCATTTGGCCAAATTTGCATAATAATTGATAACTACCATAATTGTTTCTAAATATAGATAAAAGATCATCAAGTGAAAAATTAGAAAGATGTTTATTTTTTTTATTGCGGTTAATGCGATTGCCATGAGACCTATGCTTGAGTTGTCTTTTATCAACAATAGTCATGATATCAATATAGGAAGTTTCAAATATGTTCCCTTGTCCCAATGTTATTGTCATTTAGACCTAGGGGATACGCTTTCTGAAGTCCTCTAATCCACAACAGTTCGAAAATAACACTGTTTCCAAAATTATAAGGTTTCTATGTAATTTCGGTTGACAGGAAATACAAGAATAGTTTGCCTCTTCCGGTTTACACAATGCCACATCCGGTGTTATATGCTAGTTTACTTTCAACTGACTCTAAAATGTATGGTCTTTACACAATGAAATACGTGCAAAAGGACTTCTTGTGTTGATCTTTTATAATACCTAGATCAATCATTGTTTTCATTTGAACAAAATCTACGTATATTTTTTATATAATTATCAGACAGTTTCCACATATTTTTTTCGTTCATTGTCCTGAAATTGTCATTGGTTGCCACATTGCAAGTCAGGGTCAATGTGACATACAAAACGTCGTTACACTTCTTGAAATTACTTACTCGGCGTTAATTTACTTTAATCTGACCTAATGTTGAAAGTCCCAAAAGGCAAAGATTGCTCGTTTTATTGTCTAAATGCACCAAAATGTTACTCTATGACATCACAAATTTACTTGATGATTGTTTTCAAGATACATTTGTCGTTTACACATGATTTTGTTATCATTTACTCTTGATTGATTGTTTGATTAACTAAATATTTGGTGTTTAACGCCACTTTCAGCACTATTGGCTATTTCGTAGCTGCTAGTTTGTATTGGTGGAGGCAGACTGAGTGTTCTAAGAGAACCAACGACTTTGGCAGAAAAATTGGCAGTCCTAGTCAACTAAGATTGAAGTCGGAAGCATCAGCCACTTAAGTGAGGGGTTCGAACTCACAACTTCCGTGTTGACAGGTTGGTGATGCAATGGATGAACTATTTAGGCCGTTCGCCCACTGAGGTCCCCATTTACTCTAAAGAAACAGTGTAAAAATGTAAAGGTTAGAAAACGAAATTCAAATTACCCCCTGCAGATTTTGTTTTTATGGCTTTTTTATCTTTTTAATTTTTAATTGTTTTCGGGTGTTTTGTGCTATTATCTCATTGTTTATACCAAACATCTCTTCTAATCATATACATGTAAGTAGCCTAATCGCCCTTATTATTTCCGAATAATGTAAACAAGGAAGCAAACGAGCAAAGGGATTTGCATTCACACACGGTACCGTTAATGTGTAAGATAGATGTACAATTCATTTCAAATGTACACATCTTGTTATCAGTTGTCAAGATGACATATAAAATAACACATGGATTTTTAATTTTAAAGAACATTGTAATCTCGATGCAATCAGCAACAAAATAATCAATTCAAATCGTTCTTTAAAGAAATGTAAACATTAGAATGTGCAGTGTTTGTGGACAAAGGAATTGTGTCGCTTGCAACTTCCTCGATATTTTTTTTACAAATAACATTATGTTCTACATTTTTTTAAAAAAGTAATAAAAATGCTACTGCGGAGTTTTATATCGTTTGGGATTTTAGCATTTACACCACCAGTACTAGGTATGCATTAACTAAATAGAACAATATTATAATTTTATTTTCGGTGTGTGTAGTTTGATTGTTCAAAATTGTAAGATACACTTTATTCAACTCTTCTACATATGTTCATTTTGATTTACTGAGTAAATATTAGTGGTTCCCATGATTTGATTCATTTCAATTTGAAGCTTCCGCTTTCATAATCACTTGAATATTTATTTTGCTGGACGATGTATGATGTATGATACTGCACATACCACGTGTTCGTTGTACTTTAAGGTACACCGGAGTTAGGATTTCCATTTTGCAATCTTGTATATATTTTGATCTACATACATGCATCCTGCTTCATCAGCAGTACTAATAGCCGACATTACGATCGGATATTGGTTTACTGACATTTGCACTCGGTAATTGTGCAATACTTCAAATCCTCGGTTATCAATAACATTTCTATGCCGAAATCCTTGCTCAACAGTTAAACTCCGGTGTACCCGATAGAATTACAACGAACACGTGACGTTTGCGGTATCATGCGCATAGAATCGGAGCCATTACCGATGAAACGCCATTAATATCATCCGCCCAATACAACATGATTTTTAAATATTGCCTTATACGAATAGAAAATGGTCTTTCATAATAATGCATTTTTTACAAAAACTGAGCCTCATAGGTTAACACCCTATTATTACGACAGATGCAATAGGAATTGTGTTTCTGGTCGTTATCGTATAAAGCAGATTTGTGTCTGCGTTTCCAATTGTCATTGACATATAACTAATTTTGCAATCGGGTATAGTGAAAATATGTCACCTGCTTCATAAGCACTCCAATAGCCAGCAATAGGATGGAATATTGGTTCACTGACTTTTGATTTATGATCATGATAATGAAAATTATACCGGAAACATGGTTTGTTTTGTATTCGACGTTTGGTATTCTCTAGAAACATCTAATTAAAAATCAGATAACATTCCATCTTTTACTGCGTCATATAATCATTTTTAGATCAGCTTTCACCAGCGCCAAATTTTTATTGCATTTAAAATAAAGACGGATAAATGCAATTGATGCTAAAAAACTAATTCTAGGATCTTTACAGTGATATTAATATTATAACTAATGGAGTTGCAATTTTAATTTTTGAAAAGTATACCAAATCTACCATATTTAACAATAGGGAGTTTATGAAAATTTAGCAAATATGTAATATGGCTGCAGAAACATTGACTAAACGGTTGATAATACATTCAAAGAAGGAATAATTGTCTCCTATCTTTTTTAGGAGGGGGTGGGGTGCGGTGTGGAGGGGCTTTATCCAAATGTAATTAACTGAGTGTAAAATACCATTTTCTTTATATTTAACTATTCCACCCGTTCGTTGGATTGATTCTGGTCTGCAAATCGCGCATTGTCAAAACTAAGGACAAAAACAAATTTGAATTAAATAAAAAACAATATGTAGGTTATGTAAACTAGGTCATCGGTAGTTCTACAGAACTGAAAATTGTGTGTATTTGATTCATGTTCGGTCGTATTTGGACCGTTAAATTCGCTGGCTGGTGTAGGAAAAGCGCCACACTCTTTGCACGTTTAAATTACTTTGCAACAACATTATATGGGTCTATAGGTGGCCCCCTGTTACTGGTGTTTACCCCTGTGACTGTTGTTTACAAATATTAAATACTTTCCGTCTTGCAATAAAAGCCGTGATAGACAGGGTGACTATAAGTTTATTTAGCCTAACATGGAGAATACAGTGGCGTTTTATAACCAAAGAAGCCTTAAATTGACAATTACATTTTTTGTACATTGTAAAATTACTGAGAGGACCCTTTCCTTCAGGGAGTTGCATCTTTAGCCTTATTTTCAAAACTAATTTTAAGTTGGTTCGTGTAAGAACAGCTTTAGCATCATTACAGTAGGGCTTCACATCACATTTCCACTATTTCAAGATTTGAAATAAAAGAGGGAAACTATACATGTACCTCGTATGTACATGAGACTCTAATTTAACAAAATGGGAAAAAGGTTGACAATTAAGTTTAGAATAATTGGCAACATTTAATTGTACAAATTGTACGTTCAAAGACAACCTGAAGAAAACAACAGACAAATCATAATGTAGTCTGGGGGAGGGGTGGACAATTTTCCAAATGAATACTCTGGCCTAATATAAACTGGAAAAATCGTTGACATGATGAAAATGAATACTTTGTCATGCAAAATGCAGGAAACAATTGTGTAAAATATGAAAGTGAATAAAAGAAAAGAAGGATATGGGATAGCCATCAATGCAAAAGATCAGTACATGCAAAGCAAAAAAACACAAACAACAAAGGAACAGCTTATTGCTGTTCTTCATCTCAAGCCAGTCTAGTTACAGGAATGAATAAAAGTTCCATCCAGAAAAAAAAACTTCTTGTCCTCCCCACTCCACCCTGACAATCAAATGGAGGTCTTCTAAATTATAAATTGGAAAGAAAATATCAATAAATTATCCGTTATCGTAAATCAGATATTAACAGCACAATATCCATAAAATTACAGCGACCCTATGGTAGTAAAAAGACAATTTTGATATCGATATTACTGACATTCTGGTACTCAGTCAGGTAAAAGCAACTTTAAGAAGTAAACCAAGCTTACAACCGGTGCAATTTTTTTGGGAAAAATCCTCTGTTTTCCAATTATTTTAATGTTTAGAAAATATAACACAGTTATTTCACCCCGAATTGAAGCGATTTTAAGCTTGCATTTACTTGACCTGGTACCAGAATGTCTTACCACAGAGTAGGTAACCTATCGAAATATTATGTTCCCTGAAGTCAAAGTCGGCAATATGAAAATAGTTTATTCAAATAAAAAAAACCCGTTGTGTTAATTTACGATTTACATATTTAATCAATAATTAATTTCCCTGGATATGCTCAGAGTAAATAAGATCGATCGCAATCCTAGGATACAAACATAAATATATCGAGCAAAAAATAGCTATATAATCATTTAAAGTCAACATTTTCTAAAGAAGATAAGAGCTTTAAATTGTTGTATTTCTATTTACATAATTTTTATAACCTGTGTAATCTAACAAACGGATATAATGACAAAATATGTCGTGTCACGCTCCATTTCCGCAATCTGCATGTTAATTAATATCAGGAAGAAGGCGGGTTGTAATTTGCTGAATAATCAGATACAAATCGAACATTTAAAAAAGAATGCGGAAAGATTTAAACTATTAAGTTTACTTTATTTCAATTGAAATCTTTTTTGTCGCTTGTGATAAATACAACACAAGACGTACAATTGAGGCACACAAAAATACAGGAAATAAATAATACAAACAAACCAGATTAGTAGATACATCAACAGGTCCCGGCCCTGTCCTTCGTTCGAAAGATTTTTGTTTATATAGGAACCAAAATCATAAAATTTGTATAATCGGGTCTCATTGGATGCATGTACAATGTATGCAAACATTTAATAAATTAAAACATTACATTTAAACTAAATAGTATTACTATACAGCAATGCACATTTATGGTACTACGTACATTCTGTCGATACTTATATTTTTGCATCGTATAAATAAAAAAATAAGATGAGGTGGTATGATTGCCTTGAGACAATTCTCCACAAGAGACCAAATGACACAGAAATTAACAACTATAGGTCACCGTGTGGCCTTCAACAATGAGTAAAATCCATACCGCAAAGCCAGCAATAAAAGGCCCCGAAATGACAAATGTAAAACAATTAAAACGAGAAAACTAACGGCCTGATTTAAATATAAAATAATGAATGAATATCAAGATTTTCTCTTCTTACACTAAATAGATTGGATTTGTACTTTTTGATAATTTTAGCCCTGGGTACCAGATTTTTAATTAGATGCAATCAGCTTTGAACTACATTGTAGTTTCCGTAAATGTGGGAACTCTCAGGTTGGTAATTTGAGTCTTAATTGTTTTTTGTTAGTTGTTGTTTTTTTTTTTTTAATATTTTGTGTCGATCTGCTGAGTCAATCTTTTTCCACAATGTTTTATAGTTTGATCTATTGTTGTGCGATTACACCAATTTCCAAGGTAATGATGAGAGTTGGGTATACGCTATCATTTTTAACACCTCCACAATCTGTATGAGAAAAAAAGTAAAATAACAAAAATAACAAACACCAAGGGAAATTCCAAACGGAAGGTTCTTTATAAAATGACAAAATCAAAAGCTCAAACACATGAAACGAATGGAAAACAACAGTCACATTCCTGACTTGGTACAGGCATTTCCTTATGTAGAAAATGGTAGATTAAACCTGGTTTTATAGACAGCTAAACCTCTCACTTGTATGACAGTTGATATCCTATCCCCAATCAGGACCATGTTATTCAGTGGTTATCGTGTGTTGCTGTATACATGTATCAAAACATGTGTGTATCTGTTTGTTGTATTGTACATTAATCAGGCCGTTAGTTTTCTTAGTTTGAACTGGTCATGTCGGGTCCTTTTATAGCTTGCTATGTTTAGAAATAAGAAAATGTGGTATGATTGCCAATAAGACAACTCTCCACAAGAGACCAAATGACATAGAAATTAACAACTATAGGTCACCGTACGGCCTTCAACACCGAGCAATGCCCATACCGCACAGTCAGCTATAAAAAGCCCCGAAATGACAAACGTAAAACTATTCGAACGAGAAAACTAAGGGCCTAATTTATGTACAAAATAATGAACTTGAAACAAATATGTTACACAGCAATAAACGACAACCACTGAATTACAGGTTCCTGACTTGGGACAGGCACATACAGAATGTAACGGGGTTAAACTCGTCTGAAGGCGCCAACCCTCCCCTAACCTTGGACAAAGATGTAACAGTACAACATAAGAACAAACTATAAAATTCAGTTGAAAAAGGCTTAACTCATCATATGGATACAAATAGAAATACATTTTACAAAAACACAGAGTGGACGTGGACGGGTACTTATACATCCCTAAACAAAAGAAATCACAACAAAAAGACACCAAGTACAGATCTGAGCGTACTCTCAGTTCTGAAAGCTGGTTCAAAGCAAATAACTAATAAAAAAAATCATGCAGAAGACCGTACGGTGGTTCTCACTTTTACGTCATTTGGTCTCTGGTGGAAAGTTATCCCATTCGCAATCATACCACATCTTAATTTAAATAACAATTTTCGCTATTCCTTTTAGCTTTACTAAATGTCATGCAATATTGAATAACGAGATCTTTTTTGTTTTGTTTTTGTTGATTTTTTTAAGAGTTGATGGTAAGTATTGCTGGTCTGTATTTAAGTATTCACAATCTCTGACAATAGGTCCATACTAACTGCGATTTAAAGATAAAGATATTATTTATGTCTGATTGATGGATTTTTTATTTCAATATTTATTGCGTTGCGGCTACTTTATTGACATATACAGAATATCTTGTTTATAATATAAGCAATCTTGAGACAAAACACTTCCAAAATACTCTTCAATTATGCAATAGTATAATCGTTCATTTTCATTGTAGGCGTGTCAGTATACGATGGATATGACATGTTTATCATCGTCTGGGGATCAGTGGCTGGAATTGCTACTCTGACTATATTTGTTATCATAATATACATCTATATTAAAATAAAGTAAGTCAGTACGAAAACTTTACAAGTAGTTTAAAATCACCGTTGAAAGGTTATGAGGGTCTGGATGGGGGTCCTTAATTTCTTTTTCTTTAGTTTTTGATACCATTTTTCTCTACTCTATTTATTTTGCCCATTATTCTCTTTTCTTTATATTTTAGCACCCTGATTCTTTATTGTTTTTGAATGGTTTTACACTAGTAATTTTTTGGGGTTCTTCATAGCTTGCTGTTCGGTATGAGCTAATGCTCCGTGTTGAAGGCCGTGCCTTGACCTATAATGGTTTACTTTTATAAATTGTAACTTGGATGGAGAGTTGTCTCATTGGCACTCATACCACATCTTTCTATATCTTTTGTAGATTTTACTCTATTCTTTATTCTTTTAACCATTCATTATCACTTTTTGCCAAAAAATCTCTGTTCTGTATTTCAACCCCATTCAGACTCTCGTTTACCGCCTGATTAAAAAATACAGAAATTTCACAACTTGTTTATCTGAAAATGGACAGACTTTATAATGTTATATGAATTGAAGGGTGTTTTAGTCGTCATTGTTACACGACGAAATCTATTCCAGTGGTGAAAAGTACATCGTAGTTACCTTTCACACTTGTCGATTGTTACAAATAATAGAAATATAACTTATGATGGCATCCTAAAATTCAGTGAAATATTTGCTAGTCTCTAAACATTGTATAAACAGAGACAAGAAAACATATCCGATTTTGTTTATATAGCTGACAAATAAGGTTTTAGTTTTTCTCATGGTTGAAGTTCGTAAGGTGAATTGTAATTGCCTTAATCCGCGTTATCTGAACTCAATAGATGTCTTGCTGACAATCTTACCATTCCTTCTCATCTTATAGTAAAACAAAACAAAAACAAAAGAACATAAACAAAACTGAACTGAAAAGGTAGCCTAGTACATGAAATATCTTGGATCCCCTCATAATATTACATAAGATGATTCACTTCTTTATATGCAGTAGAAATTCTTACTGCATAGAACAAAGATAAAACATATACGTATTACAATTTTATAGCACAGATATAATAGCTTCAATACAACGAATGGTGTCTACTGAGGATAAACAAGAAACTTACGAGACTCCAGATGCAAGAAGAGACAGTCATATTTACAATCCAGATCAACATGGTGATGACAATGAAAGTGACAATCATCAATATCTAGAAGTTCGATCATCGACCACTAGCGATATTACGAATACGTGTTCGACCAATGACGATACTCAGAGCCGGTTATCGACCAAGCCAACTTCAGGCGATATTCGGAATCAATTACTGTACACTGGAAATATTCCAAATCGATTAACTGGTAAAAAAGTAGAAACACATGGCGAAGTCGATCAAAATCGATCTGGGGATCAGAATCGTGAAACAGTATATGAAATTACCGACCTTGATAACTCAAGCTGATCAACCCAAATTAAAAACGTCAGCTAAAAATACTATAAACAGTATGCTTATAAGTTAACCTATTATTCTTCATTTTCAATTGATTCTTTTTAAAAATGCCAGTACTGTTTAACCTGTTCACATTTCATGTAATACAACAAAAGATGCTTGGAGAAGCGACATAGCTGAACATTTTATTCTCTCGACCTCGTCTCGTGGGGCTATTGCCGGGGTTTCTAAAAAAAAAGCTATTGAATAATTTACGAAGTACAGCAGCAAAACTAACTAAAAGATATAAAATATTTATAACTTATACTTCAATTAGTAATCGATTAGATGTATAAAGTATTAACTGATGCATTGTTCCATGGTAAACATTGGGTTATCTTTCGTTTACCAGAACAAAAGTTTCAACTGGAAAAATATTTGGAGTTTAGTATGACGTCCATTATCACTGAACTAGTATACATATTTGTTTAGGGGCCAGCTGAAGGACGCCTCCGGGTGCGGGAGTTTCTCGCTGCATTGAAGACCCATTGGTGGCCTCCGGCTGTTTTCTGCTCTATGGTCGGGTTGTTGTCTATTTGACACATTCCCCATTTCCATTCTCAATTTTATAAAATAAGGCGGGGAAAGCCGTGTCTGTTGTTTGTTTAATTTCTAGTTGTGAAGGATATATATACATTGTAATGGACCCCAATCAGAATAGTTTGGATTGTTAATTTGATTGTATATAAATGAAGGAACTAAAAAAGCAGAAAAAATGAAGGGTCCGTGAGCTTGTTTTGAAGATATAAGCCATTGAAAATTTGGCGGGAAATAATTCTCTCTAGAGTTTTCATACATTTTACATTGGCACCTTTTTTCTGTCAAAAACTATGAAAAAATAACAAGGATTTTATAAGATTTTAAACTATATGTTATCAAATTATGGAAAGAAAAGTGGGTGTTAGCGTGCAAAATTTTTAAAGGCACCACATGGATTAAACCAGAGGATTCCGAATATCTGGTAAAAATTCAAAAACAAGGGGAGCGAACATCTTTTTTTTATTCTTTTAGTTCAGGAACGTGCAAGAAGACCTACATTATTATCGATCGTCATTCTTTTGTCAAGTCAGATCACTTGAAAAAAACAATGCTAGATTTTTCAGTCTGAATAATTATTAACAAAAGTGTTGCCGGCAGCTTTCCATCACAAATAAATGCATACTTCCGCATTCATTTAATTAATTTATTGATCATGATAATTTCGGACTGAAATCTTTAATATACGTTATTGAAGCTTGAGTTGGTACAAGTACTGCTCTTTAACTGACAGTTCCTGCGATTACCATCGACCAAGGTACCAGTTCTTCGGTATTACTGTATCATGATTTAAATTTACTTTTTTAAGCGAAATTTTTCAATATATGCATTACTGAATTGTACTTAAACCTAAATTACAATTTCCTGAGACAATGGAGCTTATAGATAGCTGTGAATGCTATGTTATTGCTCTGTTAATGCCTCACACTATTTGTCTATATGACTTCCTAAACTTACTGGATGAGAATTTTGCAAGATATGCTTGTTGTATATACTGAATAAGCGATATACATTTGTAATTTAATTTTGGATGTAACACGTCTTCTGATTGGCTGAAAGTGTTTTGTCTATCAGCTCATAGACATAATTTTGTCATGTGACCGTGACGTCATCAATGTTTTTATCATGATTTACGCCTCTTTAGAATTAAATTATAAGGAATGACTGTAATATTCAGTGTGCACCACATTTTTGATGTTATTTCTTCATAGACAGAAAAAATATTACAGTCATTCCTTAAGTAATATAAATGAATTTTTCATTTGAACTACTGTCATACAAAGTGTTGTGCATTAACAGAACATTTTTTAAGTTATATCACTATACACATGTAATGTCCCTGCTTTTATAGTTTGTCATAGCTATTTAGGTCATTTTAGGAAAAGCAATAATTGAAAGAAGCTCAGCCATGTGCATTAAGTTCGAGCGCAAAAAATCCCGCCTCCTTTTATGTGAGAAAAAAATTTTAAAACAAGATGTAAAATCAAGGACCAATTTTCTACAACTGAAAACAAACCACACAAGTCCATTCGGGGAGGGGGAATTCACAATTTGATTTTATATTAACGTATCATATGTTTTCTCTGTCACAATGTACGAACGCCCTTGTTACATTTTGTATTACTACTCCTAAACATGTCCATGGAACAATATGCTGCCTTAAGATTATTTTTTTTGAGGGGTCACTGTTCAATAGTAAAGATATCCAAGTGGTTTCTTCGTTTCACCTCTCAATGTCGACATTCTTTTGTTTTCAATAACTGAGCAGGAACCTGATGTCCAGTGGTTGTCGTTAGTTGATGTGGTTCATAAGTGTTTTTCGTTTTTTTTTTATATAAATTAGACCGTTGGTTTTCCTGTTTGAAAGGTTTTACACTAGTCACTTTGAGGGCCCTTTATATCTTGCTGTTAGGTGTGAGCCAAGGCTCCGTGTTGAAGGCTGTACTTTGACCTACAATGGTTTACTTTTACAAATTGTGACTTGGATGGAGAATTGTCTCATTGGCACTCATACATTGTACCACATCTTCTTATATCTATTAACCCATCTGAAGCAAACGGTCAAATTGAAGATCGCGTGCATACGGATTCAAAAAAGATTGAATTATTGACTTTCAAGCCAATAATACACCAGCGATGTTTTTTTTTCGTTTTTTTTTTTTTGTATCTTTTTTTGACAAAAACGGACCAAACTGACTTCGAAATGTATTTTCAAAATTCCGCTTTTATTCATGTAACTTTTTGAAACAAAAAAAAAATCCCATTTTAATTTGTGTTTTTATCGTAGCTAATGCCCCTTTAACAAACAAAAAAAGACATTATACACCCGTTAACATTTTCAGAAACACCTTATAACAAAATGTCTTTTTGGGTAAAGCCTTTGTTCATGTCTAAGTATTGATATTAATGACAAGATCTCAAAATGAGACTGTTTGGCAATTTTTTGTACAGATTTGTACTAAATGTAAGAAGTTTAGAGTCCCCATAAAATTATTATAAGAAAAGAAATGAAAAACTGATGTTTGATCGACTAATGTCTAAGGAAAAACTGAAAGATGTTATTGAAAGATTTATAAAACATTTTGCTTTTTCGAATTCATGGGTCAAACGTGGCCTTATCATAACTTATCCCATCTCCCTTCACTGAAAATCAACAATAACATTCGTTTTCCTATATCTGACATACATTTGCCTACTGCACACATCTACTGTATGAAAAAACAATTATAATTGAGTAACGAATAATACTAATAAAGGGATAACAAGAAGAAGAAAAACAAACGCACAGTACAACAGACCTCACCAATACATGTACCAACGACTGTCTTCTCCGAAATAAGCCGAACGCTGTACGGTGACCTATACTTGCTTATTTCCACGTCATTTCGTCTCTGGTGGTAAGTTGTCTCATTGCCAAGCAGTCCACATCTTCTTACTTTTATACAGAGACACGAATAAAGATCAACAAAACCGAAGAACACATAGTCCCGATATATAATTTGCGAAAAGCACAGAGATGTATAGTTGAATAAGTTACAGGTAAACCTTTCACTGGTTTCATCGACCATTTATAATATAATTTATATATATCCATGGCTTACTTGTTTATGTATGTAATTGCTTAATAAAATCGAAATATGTCAATTCGTGAATAACTTGCTTTATATATTTATGTTTTGTTTATGTTTTTGTGTATTGTGGTTTGTGGTTTTTTTTTTTATAAAAATATAGAGATGATTGCCAATGAGACAACTACCCACCAAAGTTCAAATAAAGTGGATGTAAACAATTATAGGCAATCGTACGGCCTTCAACAATAAGAAAAACCCATACAGTAAAGTCGGCTATAAAAGGCCCCAACATGAAAAGTATGAAACAATTCAATGAAAAAACTAACGGCTTAATTTATAACAAAACACTTTACGAAAAAACAAATATGACAGACAAGAACCAACGACAACCACTGAACTATACGCTCCTGACTTGGGACAGGCACATAAAGAATGTGGCGGGGTTAAACATGTTTGTGAGCGCTCAACCCTCCACTAACCTGCGACAGTGGTGTAACTGCACAACATAAGAACAAACTACAAAAATCAGTTGAAAAAGGCTAAATTCATCAGATCGATACAAAGGAGAAAAACATCAAACATAAACACAGACCGGACGTGGCAAGGTGTTTATCCATTCCTCATCCCTAACAGCAAAAAGGACACTAAGTAGAGATCTGAGAGTTTTTGCAGTTACTGACAGCCAGTTCAAAGCCAATAACAACTAATAAAAAAACATGTATCAAAGACTAAAATATCAATTAGTACACATCCAACATTCAATGGATTTAGTGTTAAGACGTCATTAACAGTCAGAGAAAAACATGACCTTGTTTGTTTACTTGCTTGTTTGTATGATTGTTTTGTATTTAATCTTTTTTTTTTTTTTTTTTTGTGGTTGGGGGATAAAAGTGTTTGTGTGCAGTTACCTTGTGTAAATAATCAAATTTTCTTTTAAATTGATATGTGTTACCTGTTTGTGCTTATTGTTTTTAGATGATGTAAATAGGGAAACAAAATAGTACACACTTAGTGTTACATTTAAACACGGAACTGTTGATTTATAAAGTTGTACAAATGTAATTAAGATGAAAAACATCTTTTGTCAATTGTCAAGATAGAATTTAAAATAACACAAAAGATTTTTACTTTAAATAACAATAAAACGATGTATTCAACGCGTTCTTTTTAAAATGTAAACAGTGTAATCGAGTCGCTTATAATTTCCTCAAAAGAAAAGTTTTATAAATATTAGTCTGGTAGATCAATGTGTAAAAATGCTATTAAGGAGGATTATAACTTTTGTAGTTTTATTATTAACTCAACCAGTCTATGGTATGTATTACCTATATATAGCACAGTATTTTTTTTTTAATTTATTGTATGGAGAGTAAAAAATACTTTGTAATGTTTTAAAATTATGCAATAAAGTACATTTAACTCTTTTGGATGTGTTTCTTTTGAATTTCAAACTTTGACTTATAGATTTCAGAATCAATAACTTTCTCTCTTTGTCCTTTGTCTTCTATTTGTATAATTTGTATTCCAATCAAGCAAGGGGAGTTGAAGAATCCTACGAAAGCCATTTGGTTTGGACATACAGACGACGGACTAATTGAAAGACTGATAGACGGACGGAAGGAATGATGGACAGTGCCTTGACTATATGCTACCGTAGTGTTTGAAATTCTCCAAAGTTGGCGATCTGATATTTCGACTTCCACTTGAAACTGAGAGTATGTAAGAAAGTGAACGAAACTTAGCTTTGCAATATGCCATATAGTGAAAATAAGAATGGAAACGGGATATGTGTCAAAGAGACAACAACCCGACCAAAGAGCAGAAAACAGCCCAAGGACACCAATGTGTCTTCAACACAGCGAGAAAATCCCGCACCCGGAGGCAGGCTTCAGCTGGCCACTATACAAAAATGTGTATATAAATTGCTTTTGAGCATTTCCATATGCTCAAGTTCATATGTGTTTCGGATAAGCGAGATTTCTGAAATAAGAATTTTGGTAGGCAACACTTTGTTTTTTAAGATAAACTTAATACAATAAGGTGTTTAGACATATTTCTTTCTTTTATAAAACAGTATGTGTTAAAATTGCAATAGTTATTTAATTATCTTAGTTTGGACAAGAAGAATAAATAATTGAATGGAGAGAAACTAATGTTATCCGAATTTGGATGGAATACATAATACACATTAGGCCAATTAAAATTAATTGATAGATTTTCATCCCCGCCCGCCCCTCTGAAATCGTTCCGCCCCAATTTTTTTTATTTTGAAAAAAATACGATTTCCGGATTTTGTTCATTTTCGTTACCGGTAACTATCGATAATTTCGTTTCATTAATAACATCCTGTTTCAAATTTTGGATTTTGCATTTCTTTGTATGTTTGATTCGTTATACATGTATATACATGATAGAACCTTATTATTACACTTGCATATATGAAGAACACGTCACAAGAGCGTTTCATATCTAATAAATAATAAAAAATAAAATCCTCCCACCCACCCCATTTTTTTCAAAAATTTGGATGAAAATCTATTAATTAAATTTACTTGGCCTTACCAAGGACTAATAACTGTTCTTATCCAAATTCGGATAAGAAGAATACATGACCTACTCACAGAGTTTAGTATGCAATGACGATCCTTATCCAAATTCGGATAAGTATATCTATATTCAATATTAAGTCGTTTTGGTCATTATCCGAATACGGATAAGAAGGACAAAGAATTGTGCATAGGAGTACTTTTTTATGATTTTCTTTTCCGAATTCGGATAAAAGCAAATTAAAGGTACCAAAAAAATGTATATATCAAGCAGCCTTATTATGAAAAACTTTATATACATTACTTTTCTTATATCTTAATTAGTTAATAATATGATTGATGATTTATTGTTGTTTGTTTTACGTCCAGTGGGAAATATTTCATGTACATGCAAATTTGAAAGCAAATTATTTACGGCACATTCGGTTCTATAAACTGCTTTCCTGGAAGAAATTGTGAGTATTTCGTTTGTCATTAGAAAATGCGAGTATGTTAGACTGCAGTAGAAAAAAAACCTCCAACATGCCATCAAAAGGAACAATGAGGACCTCTACAAAGATTGTTGCGGTTTTTTTAATGCTTGGACAGTGCTATTTTCTCACTAAATATCAGATTTATCGTTACGCCAAACCGATGCGACTAGTTAAGATATGGTTAGCCACAGATTAAAGAAGTGAAAGAATGTTTTTTTTTTACAGATCGTTTGTCGTTCTATTTTTTCGAGGTTTTACATGTCATCATAGTTTATGCTTTAAATTCATACAAAAATATAACAAAAAGAGAAACAAGATATTCCGAAATACTGCATTTACACACATAAAAATTTCAAAAGAAAATAATGTATGAATATGCAAGTTTTTGTTGTTTTTACTGATTCTCTTATAACTAATCAGTTGGAAGAATGTATCTTGAATATTTAGATAAGATTGTTTGTCTCCCTTCACTTTATCATTTTGGAGACCTTTTAACCATGAATCTGCATCGTTTGCCAGTTAATGTTTTACCAGTAAACAATTTTTTGTTAAAGCCTGAATATGTTACCAAATAGATAATATAGTAAGAGATGCAGACCCAGGATTTGAAAAAAAGGGGGGGGGGTGCCCCCTTCCTAGAAAAGTTTGGAGTTGAATAGGTAAAAAGTGTGGATTCAACAGTATATGAAGCATCTCAAGAGGGTGGTGGTGATGCTACCTCCCTTAAATCCGCCTCTGAGTGAAAAGAGTTCTTGAAATAGACATGAGCACGATTTATTCATTGAATTTTGAATTTGCTTGTCTTTCTGCGTTTTTTTCAAACATGACGATTCGACCGAATCTACTATTGTAGTTAAGATACCCAGTACACACACGGTAAAGTGTCGACACTTCATTTTGTAAAAAGTGTCAAAATTTCTGTCAAAAATGAAAATTTTTAATAGTAAATCAAAACATGAATAAAATGCTCCACAGGGCGCAGCTTGATACGACCGCAGAGGTCGAACCCTGAACAGTTGGGGCAAGTATGGACACAACATTCAAGCTTGATATAGCTCTGAATTTGGATTGTGATTAAATATTTGACACAGCATAGGTTTCTGACACAGAATGAATGTGGTCTAAGAACTTAAAAATTTTAAATTGGACATTCACATATTATGGTCCAATATCCAAAATCTAAATACATGGTTAGATTCAGCACATCAAAGAACCCCAAGAATTCAATTTTTGATGAAATCAAACAAAGTTTAATTTTGGACCCTTTTGACCTCAATGTGGACAAAGTTGATAACGGGGCCCAAACATCTAAATACATGGTTAGATTCAGCATATCAAAGAACCCCATATATTCAATTTTTGTTGAAATCAAACAAAGTTTAATTTTGGACCCCGATTTGGACCAACTTGAAAACTGGGCCCATAATCAAAAATCTAAATACATGTTTAGATTCAGCATATCAAAGAACACTAAACATTCAATTTTTGTTAAAATCAAACTAAGTTTAATTTTGGACCCTTTGGACCTTAATGTACTCCAATTTGAAAACGGAACCAAAAATTAAGAATCTAAAAACACGGTTAGATTCGGCATATCAAAGAACCCCAATAATTCAATTTTTGATGAAATCAAACCAAGTTAAATTTTGGACCCTTTGGACCTCAATGTGGACCAATTTAAAAACGGGGCCCAAAATCCAAAAACTTAATACACGGTTATATTCAGCATATTAAAGAACCCCAAGAATTCAAGAATAAAACCCCATTGAAATTGATCAAGAAATAAATAATTTATAAGAAGTATCTTCTTTTGCACAATACTGTGCAATTGAATATTTCTTGCTATTGCGCAATACTGTACAATTGACAATTTCTTGATATTGCGCAATACTGTGCAATTGAAAATTTCTTGCTATTGCACAATACTTATTATTTAAAAATTTACACATCCTGTTTGGTGTGTATCTCCTACAATATCATTATTATTTGCTTTTAAATATAAATCAGAAATAACCAACTTAAAATGGAAAATTTTAAAAGAAAAAAAAAAAGGAAAAAAAGGAAAAAAAAGAAAAAAAAAAAATCCCCCCCCCCCAATTTTTTGAACCCCCTTATGATTCATCACCCCCAAACTCAATCCCAGCCTTCCCTTTGTGGTATGGTACCTTGCAGTACAATTTCAGAGAGATCCATACACTTGAACACAAGTTATTGTCTTGAAACTAGAAAAATGCTTATTTTTGGCCCCTTTTTGGCCCCCAATTCCTAAACGTTTAAGGCAATTACTCCCGAACTCAATTCCAGCTTTTCCTTTGTGATATGAAACCTTGTAGTACAATTTCAGAAATATCCAAACACTTACACACAAGTTATTGTCATGAAACTAGAAAAATGCTTGTTTTTTGCCCCTTTTTTGGCCCCTTATTCCTAAAATTTTGAGGCAATTACCCCCAAAATCAATTACAGCCTTCCCTTTGTGATATGGAACCTTGTGGTACAATGTCAGAGAGATCCATACACTTACACACAAGTTATTGTCTGAAAGTTACAAAATGCTTATTTTTGGCCCCTTTTTGGCCCCTAATTCCTTAACTGTTGGTACCATAACCCCCAAAATCAATCCCAACCTTCCTTTTGTGGTATTGAACCTTATGGTAAAATTTCATGGAGATCCATTCACTTAAACTAAAGTTAGAGTGCGAAAACCAATGTGTCTTCGGACGACGCCGGACGACGCCAGACGACGACGACGACGACGACGCCAACGTCATACCAATATACGACCAAAAAATTTTTAATTTTTGCGGTCGTATAAAAATTAGTTAAATAAATAATTCTGTAACTTGACTGTTTTAGCTATAATATGATAAATAGTATCGTCAACTAATTGAAGCAGCTCGTTGTTGTATACTATTTAACATCTGCTTCCTTTTATTCCGTATTTCATTGTATTTTGTTACTTAAATCTTGTTTATATATATAATTTACACTTTATATACTTGTATATAAAAATAATATACATAAACAAATTATTTACCTTTTGTAAACGAAAAAAAAATATATATTTATTTCCAAAAGTCAAGAAGTAGTTAGACAAGAACAAGACTCGACCACAAACTTTTTCCGGATTCATATACGCATGTACAGATTAAGTAATCTGACGTAGCTTTCCTTGTATTTCGGTGAACTGAGGTTGAATGACTTCTTGTATTTTTGTTATCGTAACAGGCACATCTGTTTAGTATTCATGCCAATTGTTACTGACGCTGCACCTTTACTAGAGTGAAAAGCGGGA